TTTCCCTCCTCCAAGACCCCCCCCCCCCCCCCCTTCCCAAACTCTATTGTGATCAGAGAGGCAGCAGTCCAAGTTCACACACATCATACTGGTAGCACTGGGCTACCTCCTTCAAGGACCCCCTCACCCCTTCCCAAACTCTATTGTGATCAGAGATGCACCATTCTAAGTCCACACACATCATACTGGTAACACTGGTTTACCTCCTTCAAGGACCCCCCCACCCCTTCCCAAACTCTATTGTGATCAGAGATGCACCAGTCCAAGTCCACACACATCATACTGGTAACACTGGGTTACCTCCTTCAAGGACCCCCCCCTCTTCCCAAACTCTATTGTGATCAGAAATGCACCATACTAAGTCCACACACATCCTACTGGTAACACTGGTTTACCTCCTTCAAAGACCCCCCCTCCCTTCTGAAATCAATCCTCCATTCTATTGGTCCAGCACTGCCAAATATTGACCCGATAGATACAGTAGAGTGAGGACAGGAAGCGTCAGGCTGGGTCACCAAGAGAAAATAGAATATAATAAAAGCCTGAGTAAAGAAAACGAATGCATCCGCCACATCTAAAGACGGGCAATCTGCAATATATAGAATGTTTGGTTTCTGGGTTTCGATTCACTTTAATTATTATTTATACGGAAACCTACAAGGAAATTGTACATTATTTCTCTCAGTCCAGATTTTTCCGATCCCCGTCATTTTTCCTCGGTGACTTGCACGTGTTATTATTAATGAAGCAAACTACTCCACAACACTCCAGATAGAGTCCAATAATACATGTCATTTATTCAGCATTGAGAACATTCGCCATTACTTCCATTTACCAGACCTCTAAATGGAAAGCTGCGCATATTCTGGACGCAGCTTGAGCACATCCAGCTGCTTTTTTGCAAGTATAAAGCTGCATGGGGGCCACTCGCGGAGTCTGATAAATGGCTCGTTCGCATTGACGTATATTATATACAGACGGGACAGGTTTATTTAAGAGCCGCAGCATAAAGGCTGCTTGTGCTTTGTCAACGACGCCTAAATGGGAAACGTACGGCCTTATATAAAGCTGAGCTCCAGGCAGATATAAAATACACCAATTAATGCAGCTCTGTATTCATTCATATACATTTATATGTATTATTTATTTATTTATTAATATTCAATAATATGTAAATATTTTTAATGGAATTATTATCAGCCCCGTAAAGCAGAGCTCACACTAGGGAAGCCAATACGCTTCAATAGGCTTGTGCTGATCAGACACACCCCCTTCCCTTTCTGTGCAATACAAGCCTGTGTGAGGTCCCTTGCAACAGGGGGTGTGGCTGTTACTCAGCTCTGCAAGCCACGGAGCCTTCTGGCCCTCCAGTGGACACCAAGACACCAGGGCCCATTCACACCACATCCAGATCCTCTCCAGACCAGATCGGATTGTTTCCAGACACAAAATGCATCCTAATGTATCCCCTATGCCAGTGGTGGCGAACCTTGGCACTCCAGCTGTGCCAAAACTACAAATCCCAACATGCATCTGCCTCTGTGAGTTATGTCTGTGGCTGTCAGAGCCTTGCAATGTCTCATGGGACTTGTAGTTCCAAAACAGCTGGAGTGCCAAGGTTCGCCACCACTGCCCTATGCTATTTCTGGCCTCTGTTCACACCAGCGCAGTCCGTTCCAGACCAGACCAGAAATATACTGCATGTCCCATTTGGTCTGGTCTGGAATGCACTGGAACTGCGGGCAGGTTCACACCATTTTCCAGACCAGATCTGGGCCGGAAAATGGTGTGAACCCATTCACACCACATCCAGATCATCTCCAGACCAAACCAGATTGTTTCCGGAACCAAATTGAATCCTAAGGATTTCCCTATGCTATTTCTGGCCTCTGTTCACACCAACACAGTCCGTTCCAAACCAGAAAAATACTGCATGTCTCATTTTGTCTGGTCTGGAATGCACTGGAACTGCGGGCAGGTTCACAGCATTTTCCGGACCAAATCAGAGCCGGAAAATGGTGTGAACCCGTTCACACCACATCCAGATCATCTCCAGACCAAACCAGATTGTTTCTGGATCCAAATTGCATCCTAATGTATCCCCTATGCTATTTCTGGCCTCTCTTCACCCCAGCGCAGTCTGTTTCAGACCAGACCAGAAAAATACTGCATGTCTCATTTTGTCTGGTCTGGAATGCACTGGAACTGCGGGCAGGTTCACACCATTTTCCGGACCAGATCTTGTCCAGAAAATAGTGTAAACCTCAAGGAAGAAACCCCCAGTGGACACCATAATTGTAGCAAGCATAGCCATGTGTCTTGTATTTTGAGGATATTTATTTTACAAGGATTTCAGCTTTAAATTGAATTCATTTACAGAAAAATGGACGCTTCTAATTGATGTCAACTTTCTTCATTTTGTTAACTAGCTGCTTTCGTCATCTTCTTCTCTAGGCAATGAACCTCAAAATGTCTTTGTCCAAGTCCTTCGTTCTTCTTCTTCTTCTTGATCAGATACATTGACTTTTCTTGCTTCTGGCATCTAGCTGCATTATCCTTCCTGGAGGCGGAGGCAGTACCACACTAACCGTATTTTTTATTTCCTTTTTCCCTTTTTCGTGGATTGTTGTTGCATTTGCAGAATCGAAACCCGAAGTGGGAAACCTCGAAGTTTCCAGTGTGACCCCTGAGGGCTTCCAATTGTCATGGACAGCTGACGAGGGCGGTTTTGACAACTTTATCATTAAGATGCAGGACGCCAAACGCCTTTATGAGCCGGTCGTTTTTAAGGTGCCGGGCAGTGAGCGCACGAGCACCGTGACCGGGCTGAGAGATGGCACTGAATATGAGATTGAGCTGCATGGTATGGCTAGTGGTCAGCGCTCTCCGCCGGTAAACGGAAAAGCAACAACAGGTACTTCAAATTAGTAGCACGTTGGCGCCACTCAAAAAAACCTATGCACAACTTGATGCTATTATACTGTAATGGAATGGAAACAGATTGGGAACTTAACCCTGAACTGTAGTGGGGGCGGTTTCCATACCAGTCACCCTGCACAAGGAGAGAGAGAGAGCAGCAGTGACCGGTCTTCATTAGGGAAGGGGCGGAGACAAGACCAGCCACCCTGCAAAAGGAGAGGGAGCAGCAGTGACTGGTCTTTATTACAGGAGGGGGCGGAGACAAGACCAGTCACCCTGCACAAGAAGAGAGAGCAGCAGTGACCGGTCTTTATTAAAGGAGACGTGGAGTTTGGGTGACCGCTGTCCTTGGGGGGTTCCTATTTTGCAGAAAGCTGCTGAACCTAAGCTATTTGGCTCAGTCAAGTACCTCTTTTGGTTGAGCATCCTTCACCCATCACCTCAGTCCAACCTCTCTTTAGACTTGAGTTTCCTACGACCGGGTCACTTTAATTCAACCATAAGTTTAGTATTGAATGTTTCCTATTGTATTTGGCACAACTACAAAAAGACTTCTCAATGTGGGTGATCCCTGTTCTTGAAGGG